ACCCGCGGCCGACGACGCCCCCCGAGCGCGAGTCAGGCCGGCCCGGGCGGGCGGGCAGAGTTTTATCCGGGAGTGACTGCCGGGGTGTGGTCGGCGGGAGGACCAGGGTGGACGTTCAAAACACGCCCCCTCCCTCGCTTTACTCATTCACGGGTTGGGCAAATATTTATCGAGAGCCGCGGGTGTCCCTGTGGGTTTTTTCTGCAGTGGAGCTAGGGCTCGGGGAGGAGGGGGATGCAGGTAGGAGAGCCGCCTGTCCCCCTGCCATCCAGCCCTGCCGGTGGAAAGGCCTGGGGTCTCCCTCCCTGGGGTCCCAGCCCCTGTTTACACCTGCTGCTGGTCCCCTCTCATCAGGACCCCCAGTTTCTCCCTCTCCCCTCATTTCTGTCTGCCTTCTTCTGCACTGAGGACAGCTTCTAAACACCATGTTCCTGTCTTTATCTGGAATTACTCAACTGTAAAATGCACCCTGCTGGCCAACTGTGACACTAGGGAGTGTGGCAATCTTCATTCATTTGTTTAGTCCACAAACATGTATTGGGCAACTTCTCCCTGCTAAGGTAAGGTTTTCTGAAGCTTTCCCTCCACAAAGGGAGACTGCAAAGGCTAGAGATCATGTTCACAACTAAAGGACACTGTCTGGGTAAATGAGCCACCATGGCTTGGAGTTGAGGGCTCAGACAGCCATGGTGGGACTCCAGCTCCACCACTTCCGCCTTGAGCAAGTGAGTTATTAGCCACTGTTTCCTCCTCAAAAGGCAAAGGGGCCAACTGCCTCACTGCAGCATTTGCAGTACTACCTGGGATCAAATCCTGATTCTGCCATTCACTAGCTGTGTGACCTCAGGGGGAATTATTTGACTTTTCTGGGCCTCAGTTTCCTCATCTGCAAAATGGAGCTAATGATAGTATCTATGTCAAAGGGCTGTTGAGAGAATTAAGTAAATTCATATATGTGAAGCCTTAGAACAACACCTGGCATGTTGGAAATGCTATAGAAATGTTTGTGATGACTACTGTCTGAACTTTAATACTTTGCATTAGCTATATTGCTTTATCATGTTCTTTCATCTTGATACATGGATATCCCTAAATCCAATTAAGTTTCTCTACCACAGATAACTGCTCCCTGTATCCAACTCATTATGCTAGCATTAAGAAACTCTGAATAGCAGGAAAAAGGAATCAAAGAAATGTGGATACTATTTTACTTAAGCAGCACTTCAGTAGTAAGTTTCTAGAGATTTGATTATTGCAATCCTGAAAAGTCTATATCCACTAAATCAGACTTCTCTTGGAAACAGAGCCACAGCTACTCAGAAAACACCTATACCCACACCTTGAGTCTTTCTCATTCTCCAACAGCTTCTTGGGAAGTGTACAAATGAAGAGCTACCCCTCCCCAAGCCTTATGGAAACTTGCCCTTCAGCCACCCACAACCTGACTGCACCCTGATTTTCTTATCGCCTGAATTTGATACACATAAGAAATCTTAAATTCCAGTACCCCACCTTCCAGCTCTCCCTTACTGTAGTCACCTCTGCCCTTGGACCCAACCTCCGATCAGTCCCTTTTCCCCTCCACTTCCCACCAGCTTTTTCACTTACTTTCCTAGGAAGCTGGAGCCCTAGTTGCTCACCTGAACCGCTCTTTCTTAAGCACTTTGAAATTCCTTTGCAACCCTAACCCTACGCCTACATTTGGAGTAAAACCCATCCCCTGGGTCAACACAGCAAACTGCCATAACTATCCACCCAGGCAAAAGACTCTGCTATGGAAGGTCCTGTGACCGTGTAGGTGAATGGCATCGCCCTTTTACTCACCCATCCCCTTGGTGATTTACAAAACCTTCATCCCTCCTTAAGGACATTCTCATCATTAATCTCCTCTAATACTCAGAGGAGGACCTTACCTCCTACATCTCTGAGAAGACTAGAGC